CATGACCCACGCCATGGTGTTCCCCCCCCCCTAGTCATCACCCCCTCTCTTGGCCGCCCCCGATCTTCGCCGTCCAGGCGACGCCTCTCCGCCGCCGCATCGGGGGCCGCGGCGCTCGCCCGCGCCCGCTGCGGCGCCGCTCTGGCGGCTCTTCCGCAGCTCTCCCGGGAGCGCTCTGCCGCCCCCGCCGGCGGGGCACGGGCGCCCCGCTGCATCCCGTCGAGGCAAAGCCGCCGCCGCAGACCCTGCCCTCCCCTGGACGGGCGCCCCGCTGCGCCCCCCGTCAACGCCGCCGCCGCGGCATCTCCTCTCCTCTATGGGGGGCGGGTGCCCCGCCGCGGCGCCCCCCCGGACGCCCCGCTGCGCCCCGCCAAGGCCACCGCCGCAGCGCCCCCCCCCCCCCCCCCCTCCGGGCGGGACGGGTGCCCCGCTGCACGTTGCTAAGACCGCCGCCGCGGCTCCTCCCGCCCTCCCTTGCGCTCCTCCGCATTGCAGCGCCGCGGGGGGCGCGGGCCCCTCTGAATCCCGCACGGCCGTCGCCGCGGCCGGCCCCCCCATCCTCTGCGCCGGGTTGCCCTCCGCACGCGCCCGGGCGAACCTCTCTACCCCATCCTCGCGCCATAGCGAGGTCCACCTCCGCCATCCTGCTTGCCGCGACGTCAGCCACGCCCCCCGCCTCCCAGATGTAGCCCTGGAGCGCGTCGCCCTTCCAACGGCCCCAGCGCTGCGCCAGGGGCGCGTCCTTGAAGGCGGCGCAAAGCGCTGACGCCCCTATGCGCAAGCCGCGTGATCCGAGATCATTCGGGTCCACTCCCTCCGCCGCCGCCCGCCGCCTGCATCGCGACCCTCTGGACGCCGGACCTCGTGGCCAGGTGCTCGTCGGACGTCGCGAAGAGGTCGTCGCGCTTTGCGCGCCCCGTGAACCTCTCCTTGACCCGCGCTTCGCGCTGGGTCTGAACCTCTACCGCGCGCTGGCGCACGTCGGCCACCTCGCACCTCCAGGGCGCGGGCCGACCGCGATCCGCGCGCGGAAGCTGCCGTTGGCGCCCCGCCCCTCGGACGGAGCGGCCGGGGGCCCCTCGCGTGGATCGGCCGCGGCGGACTCGCAAACTCCCCGGCCGAACTGGCGGCGTCGCTCCGGCCTGCCCTGGCCCAGACGCCAGGCGGCCGACCTCGGGCGCCGACTCGCGGAGCGATCCGGCGCGTGAGCCACGCGGGGGCGGCGGGCGTCCTGCTCGGTGACCTGCTCACGGTAGCAGTGGCGACGGGCTCGCTCCCCGTGGCCACCCGCGCCTCGCGCGCATCGGCGTGGAAGGGGCAAGCCCCGAACGTCTTAGTCTTGTCTCGGCGACCTCCGCCCTGGGGGGCGCGCGGGCGTCGAAGAAGCCGCGTCGTTGACCGGCGTCAGCACCAGTTCAGGGCGGGCGGAATCACTGCAGCTCCTGGGCCGCAGGATCTGGGCGGTGCCCTGCGAAAAGTACGCGGCGCGGTCAGCCTCGCGCGCCTCGTCTTTCGGCTCGGACTCCGTCTCCGAGTTGGGGTCCGTCACCTCTGCCTCTGGCCTGCCGTCGCCATGGCCCCTGGTACTACGTCGAGCGTCCTCCTTCCGCAGCAGCAGCATATTGCCCCCCGGGCGCCCCGACATGGACTGCGGGACCAGCCCCCCGCTCCGCGGCGCCCCGACGGGGCAAGCTTCGCCGGGCCCGCTACGTCCAGCGCCTCGTCGTGGTCGAACGGCCGATGCTCCACCATGGAGCACCTCCTTTGCCATCGCTCGGGAGAGTGCCTTCCGCGGCCGCGCAGGAGCAGATCGCGCCGATGCTGCCCCCGTCTCGAGCGGCCTCCAGGTCGGTCTTGTGGCGGCGGTGCGAGCCGCTGCGCGCCTCGGAGAAAGGGCACGTGCAGCCGCGCCGCGCAGCCCGGCTCCCACGGAGTGGCCCGCGCTCCAGCCGCGCAGTCGCTCCTCCTGCCCTGGCCACAAGCTCTTCGGGTAGCGTCTGAGATCGTCGAGCCCTCACCCCATCTGGCCTCCCAGGCCATGCCGCTTCAGCGCGCCGGGTCCGCCCCCCCCCCCCCCTCACGAGACGGGAAAGCTCCAGTAGCGGCTCCACCGCCCTTGGCGATCTCGGCCGCAGCTCGGTGCAAAGCCAACCCCCAGCCCCCAGAACGCGATGCGGATGACAGACCAGAGCATCAGGACCGCGGACCCCAAGGCCACCGCCGCGACTGGGCACCTGACGTCCGAGGGCGCACTCGCGAAGCATGTGCTCGCCGAGGGCGTTGACCACGTCCATCCCGAAGTGGATCACCTGTTTCAGCAAGGCGCCGAAGCTGCACCCGAGCTTCTGCCCGAGCCACGTCATCCCCATCCGAACCCGCAGCGGGCCTACACGCGCTCGCGCCCTTGCCCTGCCGCGGAACGGAAGGCCGCGCGGGTCGGCTCCTGGGCGGGGGGGGCGTCGTGGGGGCCTCGCTGCGCCGTGGGGGCCTGCTCCACCGCTCCTGCCTTCAACCTCTCCTCGTCGTCAGCATTCTCGTCATGGTGGTGGTGGTTGAATATAGGCTCGCCACCTGATGCTCGGAGCTCGCGAGGAGAAGGCCGCGACGTGGCACTGGCCGCGTCACCCCCTTCCCCGTCTCCTGGGCCGTCGGGGGCAGGGAACTCCGCCCGGGGGGGCGCCCTTCTCCTCGCCCTCTCCTGCGAGGACGCTGCGGGTCCGACGGGGCCGCCTCGCAGCCCTGATCCTCTCCGCTCTGTGATGGGCGTGCTCGGTCCTGACCTCAGCTGCGAGGCCACCGCCAAGCCCACGCCCAGCGATGCGTCGAACCACCCTGCCGCGAGCCGCGCGAACACCGCGATCGCGCACTCGAGAGAGGCAGCTTTGGCCAGCGTGATGGGCCGCTCCCGAACGCCCCCTCCTCGCGCCGTCGTCCTGCCAGCCCGGAGCGTACTCCTCGCCGCGCGGATTGTCAGCTCGGCCTCCACTCCCGCGCCGCACGCCGACGCCCGGCAAACGGCGCCGCCCCAGCGGAACGCGCCTCGGCTTGGGGCCCTGGACGCCGCACGCGAGCTCCGGTCAGGCCAGGCGCCGGAGGCCGGTGGTATGGCCCTGCCCGCCCACCCCGAAAGGCGGAGGCCCCCTTAGGGACCCATCGCGGAGGCCCCCCCGAGGGGCCAAGAAGACTTGGGCACAAGCAGCTGCGGAGATGGGAAAACAGGAGGTGACGGAGAGAGAGATGACAGGGCGCGGTTCGGGCCCACTCGCCAACAGCCGTCGTCATAACGGACCGATGAGAACAAAATGGCGCCAGTAACGCTACTCCTCGGACCTCTCCTGGGGTGCAGTCCGGCCAAAATGTCGAGGCGAATCCAGCCTTGGCGACGAAGTGCTCTCCAGGACGAGCAACGGTACCCCTATCCCGTCATATCCGGCGTTGCGAAAAAATGCAGCATCGTCAAACATCACGACCAGAGCCCTGGACCCCATCTTCCTGCAGCATGCTTCGGGCCGGGTCGATGTGAAAGGGCCCCCGGACTCGCCTGCTCGACTTCCAGGCTTCATACACTCCACGTCGGCCCCAGTTGCCTCCGAGAGCTCCCCAGAACGGCCCAAGTACACGCCAGGATGGCCCGGGAAGGCCCCAAGACGGCCCAACGGCCCCCCAGGACAGCCCAAGAGGGCCCGGGAAGGCCCCAACAAGGACTCGCGATCGTCGTCGCCGTCGCCGTCGCCGTCGTCGTCGTCGTCGTCGTCGTCGTCGTTCATCGTCCCCCTTCAGGGTCGGCGGCATCGGCCGTAAGGCCTTCGCAATAAAACAAAATCGCCCGATGCAAACGAAAAAACGACGCCAGGATCTCAGGGTCCTTTTCATTCGCCTGCTAGTGGGGGTCAGCCTACTGGTGGTCAGAGTCAGCGAAGCACATACTACAAGGAGCACATATTGACTTTTTAAAACGGGCCCGTGCGAACAACAAGTTCCAAAGAAGTTGCCGCCGAGGGGAAGCCAAGGAACACATATGTTTTCAGGTAACTGCGGCCCCCGATAACCCAAGGAATTGAGCTCACTTTGTCCTGACTCCCAAAAGGCTGACCCCCGTTAGCAGTAGCCTGAGAAGGACCTCTCTCGGCGGCGAGGCCAGGAGGAAGTCAGAGAGGACAGGCCATCTCAGAAGGCGGCGGAGCTTATCAGAAGCCCCCGTGGCCTTCTAAGAAGCCGCCTGCGTCTTCGGAGAAGACTTACTAAACTTCTCAGAAGGCCGAAGGCCTCCCTGGGAGGAGGAGGAGGAGGAGGAGGAGGAGGAGGAGGAGGAGGAGGAGGAGGGGGAGGAGGAGGAGAAGGAGGAGGGAGGAGGAGGACGAGGAGGAGGAGGAGGACGAGGAGGAGGAGGAGGCTGACTTCCCCCTGCGCTCGCCGCCGACTTTCCTCCTCTGAAGCTCTCGCCCCCCTTCGGGCCCTGGACGCCCCTCCGCCCGGGGGCGACGATGGGGGCGCATCGCCCGGGGGCGAGCAATCCACGCCTCCAGTGGCGCCGAGGATCCATGTCTTCGGCGAGGCTCCTGGAGGGATGCTCCCCACTCCGTCATAAAGCGGGGGAGGTCTGATCGGAGGGGGGGGGTCTGATCTGAGCTGTCTCGGAGGGTTCCAAGTGGGGTCTGGGCAACCGCCCTTTCATGGCTGGTCTGGCTTGGGGTCTGAAGCTGCTCGCCTGGGAGGGTTGTGACCCCCCCCCTTTTGTTCCGAAATCTGGAGCACGTGTGCTGCCTGTCCCCTGGGCTGTTGCCCCCGTCGTCGCCTCCAGGGGAAACCAAAAGGCACCCATACCGCTGCTCCCCGGCCCTCTCCTTGGGCGCGTTGCGACCAGGACTCCGAAGCGAATCCAGCGGTGGCGACGAGGGCCACCCTGGCAGCCCAAGAGGGGGAAAACGAGGGAAGGGTAGCGGGATGGGTGCCTCTTCCCACTCTGGCCTCCGCCCCCCCGCTCCAGCGCCGCGCAGAGCATGCGCGCCAGCCCGGCGCGCAGGGCCTCGGGGGCCTCGCCGCCGGTGTCCGCGCTGCGCCAGGAGAAGCGCAGCGGGCCCTCGAGCACCGTCGGCCCCAGCGCCTGCGTCTCCTCGGTGGGCGGCCGCGGCGCGCGCGGGGCGGCCGAGGGCGCCCGAGGCGGTCGCTCGGCTCCCTCCTCCTCCTCCTCCTCCTCCTCCTCCTCCTCCTCCGCCTTGCCCCTCCTCCTCCTCCTCCTCCTCCTCCTCCTCCTCCTCCTCCTCCTGGCCTCCTCCTCCTCCGCCTCCTCCTCCGCCTCCTCCCATCTGCCTCCTCCGCCGCCTCCTCCTCCTTTCTCTTCCTCTTCCTTCCTCCTCCTCCTCCTCCTCCTCCTCCTCCTCCTCCTCCTCCTCCTCCTCCTCCGCCTCCCCCTGCGACAAGCCCACGGGCAGGGCGTATGCCCGCTTCGTCCGCCAAAATGTAAAAACAAATCACGGCGGAAGGTTTGTGGCCGTGTTCGGCATCTGGAGGCCCTTGCCAGGCCCCGGGGATGTCAAAAAAGGGCTCGGGACGAGAAACTGGTTCCGGGGAAGAGGTCCAGAGCCCTGGGGACCCCGTATCGGCCAAATCACGACGTCGCCTCCTCCAGCTTGTCCTTGCCCTCGTCCTCCTCCTCCTCCTCCTCCTCCTCCTGCTCCTCCTTCTCCCTCCTCCTACTCCTTTTCCTCCTCCTGCTTCTCTTCTTCTTCCTCATCCTCTTCTTTTTTATGATTAATATTGTTGGTTTTCGTATCAGTACGACATGTATGATACGCTGTTGTTACTTATACTACTATTGCTCTTAGTTGCAAGAGTAGGACTGCTAGTATTAGTATGGGTAATACTCTTATTATTTTTGATACTCTTATTAGTATTCATAATCATACTCGTATTATTGCTACTACTTATAGTCATTATTACTACTACTACTACTATTATTATTACTAGTATTAGTACGATCATTATTATTATTACTATTATTATTCTACTTTATAGCTATTCATATCCGTATTATTATCAGTATTATTATTACTACTATTATTAGGGTTAGTCGTATACGAATTATCATTGTCATTAACATCATCATTTGTGTTATTACTATTATTCATAATATTAATATTATAATAATGATATTAATAAGTGTTAGCATTATGATTATGATTATTATTATTAGTAGCATCAGTAGTAGTCGTAGTCGTAGTCGTAGTCGTAGTCGTAGTCGTAGTCGTAGTCGTAGTCGTAGTCGTAGTACTATCATTATTGTTATTATTTGTATTATTATTATTATTATTAGTGTTATTATTAATAATACCACTATCATCAGTGCTTTTATTATTAGAGGAGTAGTAGCATTCTTATTTGCATCAGCATTATTATTCTTATCCTCCCTCCTCCTCCTCCTCCTTTTCCCCCTCCCCCTCCTCCTCCTCCTCCTCCTCCTCCTCCTCCTCTTTACTCGCGCCTGCGTGGCGCGCGAGGGGCGATCCCAGAGGGCGCCCGACCCAGATCCATCTCCCTCCCTCCCTCCCTCCCTCTCTGCACGGTGGCGCCGAGGGGGAGGCGAGTGAGGGGCAAGCCTTCTCAGAAGGCGGCAGGGTTCCTCGAAAGCCCTCCAGCCTTCTGAGGAGCCCTCCGCGGCTCCGGAGGAAGCTCAGAAGGCTTCTGAGAAGGCCGGAGGCCTGCTGAGCATTCTGAAACGGCCCGCCCCCTCTGCCGTCCCCCGCTGGGCGTCGCTCTTCCTCTCCCTCTCTCCCCCTCTCTCTCTTGCCGCGGCCGCGTCCTGCGTCTCACCGCAGCCGTCCCCCGCCATGGCAAGAGAGGGGCAGCCTTGCGGCGGAGAGGAGGAGGCGAGGGACGATGAGCCAGCGAAGAAGGAGGAGAAAGCTGAATAATGATGGTGGTGGTGATGATGAAGATGAAGAAGGTGATGAAGATGAAGGTGGAGAATAATATGAATAATAAGATGATGATGAGGAGTATGATGATGCTGGTTATGATGATGATGCTGATGATGTCGATGTTGATGCTGCTGGCTATGACGGCGATGGCGATGAAGTTGCTGATGATAATGATGCTAATAATGTTGATGAAGATGCTGGGGCTTACACTGAAGATGATGATGATGCTGATGACGATGCTTATGCTGATGATGATGGTGGTGATGACGATGACGATGAAGATGACGATGAAGATGATGATGATGGTGATGACGATTATGATGATTATGATGACGGTGATGATGATACCGATGAGTTCGATGCTAATGATGCCGATGATGCTGCTGATGATGATTGATGTTAATGTTGATGCTATTGGTAAAGCTATGTAAGGAAGACAATGATAATGCTGATGATGATGCTGTTGATTATGGTGATGATGATGGTGATGCTGATGATGCAGTACAGTAAAGTTGGGGCGATGTCAGCCCAAAAGCTCGGCAGCGCATTGGCCACACGAAGACACCATTCACAAGAACTTATTCACAAGACAACGCTCAGCGAGAGCACCGCTGCGCTGCAAGTTTAGCTCCGTCCTGCCATCGCATCGCGACGAAGCCGAGGAAGGCACGGGTGCGCGTGCGGCTCTCGGAACCAGCACTATTGTACAGCCGCTGGGTCTGGAGCCACTCGGAGTCACGAAACTGCAGGAGAATGGCGGCCCATGAGTACTATTCCGGGGCCTCTGCAAGTGCTCACTCCAATCGACCACTCGCTTGCAATGCTTCATGCTCCATCTTCCTTTCTGGCTCATAATTGTCGTAGCGTGTCTGTTTCTTCTTCGCACATATTCCACTGGGCCCTCATGGGCATGTGGGCTGAGCCGCATGATGGAGCTGACCATCTTCCTTTGAACCGTCTCGATTTGCATTTGAAGGCGGTCGGCGGCCACCGTGTATCGCCATGTTGCATGATAGGCAGCACAGGTCGGTCCATGAGGGTGTACCGGAGACCCATGGGCATCTTCACAGCGACCTTGGAGGCGCAGTTCCCGAAGTACGCTTTCCACATCGATCTCGACGTCCGTTGCCAACGCGTCTGAGTGGAGCCGTTGTCTTGAAGTGTATGTCCCAAAACAGAGAATTCAGCACTGAGTGGCCACTTTTCTACATCGTGCGGCGCCTCCGTGCTGCCTCGTGGCACGAGGCGTGTCCTACTGGAAGGCTTGATCTTGAGGTCCCACACTGATTCCAACTGAGCTTCAAAGTCTTCCAAAATATTGATTGCCCCGTTGAGCGAAGCGCCTGCGGAGAAGATGTTGTCGACATACGTAGCAACAGTGAGCCGGCACCCTGCAGCTTCAAAGCCATGTCTCGCCCAAACTTGATGTCTGTCGCGTATCGTGCTCTCGACCGGCACGCGGCCCATTGCACCAGCTACCCTGGACCCAGTGAGAGAGCCCCTTCAACGCTGCGGGATTGGAATCGATAGACTGCCCAAGCCTAGCTGGACCATTGGAAGCATCTGCTGCCTGAGTGCGCACGCCGCCAGTGCACGACGCTGATGATGCTGATAAGGATGATGATGATGATGATGATGATGATGATGATGATGATGATGATGATGATGATGATGATGATGATGATGATGATGAGGATGATGAGGAGGAGGAGGAGGAGGGGGAAGCTGATTAGTATGATGATGCTGATGTGATGCTGATAATGCTGATGATGCAGCTGGTGGTGATGATGATGATGAGGAGGAGGAGGAGGAGGAGGAGGAGGAGGAGGAAACGTGAGGGATGAGGGGGGAGGAGGAGGAGGAGGAGGAGGAGGAGGAGGAGGAGGAGGAGGAGGAGGAGGAGGAGGAGGAGGAGGAGGAGGAGGAGGGGAGGAGGGAGGAGGAGGAGGAGGAGGAGGCGGAGGAGGAGGCGGAGGAGGATGCGAGAGGGATAGAAAGGGGGAGGCTGAGGAGGAGAAGGATGACGAGGAGGAGGAGGAGGAGGAGGAGGAGGAGGAGGAGGAGGAGAAGGAGGTTGACGAGGAACAGGAGGAGCAGAAAGAGGAGGCCCACATGCCGAGATGCCATGGGGGAGCATTGGGAAAATCGAGGGGCTGCCTTTTCCAAGGCACTGCGCGAGGGCCTTGGCCAGATGCGCGCCGCAGGGGCGCCCCGCAACCGCGGCGTCGTTGGTCTCTGGAGGCCTGCTCGTGGCCCCTCGGAAGACCGCGCGCCGTCCGGCGCTGCGGAGACGACGAAGCCCCCGCAGGAACACAGCGGGGAACCCGACCTGGGCCGCCGCGGCCCCGAGTTCGTCGCGGGATCTGTTCTCGTCGACTTTTCCAAATCTAGAGCGGTCCCAAGACCGAGGGAGCTGCCCCTGGCCTCGGGGGCGCTGGGCCCAGACGGGGACCCAGTCCTCCTAAGGGTTCCCGAGCGCAGCGTTGCCTGCGCGGGGAGGACCTCTCTCGGTCTCGGGCCCCAGCGCGGACTTCACCGAGGGCTTGAGGCGCGCCCTGAATCAGCGGGCTGCGCAGCCTCTCTCGAGGACCGAAGACCCATCAAAATCCAGCCAGGCCCGACCTCGCCGGTGTCAGCCGCCAGCCAGCGCCCCACTTCGGCCGACGACTCGGCGAACCATCGCGGGCACCGGTCGGGATCGCGAAGGCCCTATAGGCCTGATCGCGGCCTCCGAACGACTCAAGGTCCTCCGATTCAGCAGCCGCAAGGCGCGGGCCACGCTGATCGAGGACCCCATGCAACCTACCCCACGTCGCCCCCGTCGGGCCCCCTTCGTGACTGGCCCGAACAGCGGGCTTAGCGAGCGACGCAGCTGGAGCGGCCGAGGCCGTCGATCGCCCATTGAGCTTCTCGCCCTGCGCCCCGCACACGCGGGGGCCACCCAGTCGGCCCCCGCGGCGCGGGCCCGCGCCGGAACCTCCTCGGCAGCCCCGGGGCATTTTTCTCTGGAGGCCCCGAAGTGCCCTTGCGAGGTGGCGCCCGCTCCTCGAGACCAAGACAGGTCGGGGGCGTTGGGGCCGAGGGGAAAGGCGCGCGCGACAAGATGCTGCCAGACATTGGCCTTGCCCGAGAGACCCGCGGGGGCCACGCCGACTGCGGCGCGGGGGCCGCCGGGGGCGTCCAGCAGCGCCTCGACACCGGCAGCAAAGGGCAGCAGACGCTGAGCAACGGCAGAATAATGTGACGCACCCCAATTGCACGCGGCATCCTCAGGCTGGGCGATCTGCGCCCGCGCGCGGCCTGGCAAGTCGGAACCAATGAGCTCGCTTGCGGAGACGTTCCAGTCCCCGCCCACTATGTCTGGCCACTCGAGGGGCCCAATCACTCTGGCGAGCGCCCCTAACAGCTCTACGCTTCCTGTGATCCAAGGCCCCCATTGGTGATCAGTGATCGAGCAGGCTGGATTCACAATTATCGGGGCGCCCATGTCGAAGTTGACCAGCTGCGCCACACAGCGGCGCCTGCGCGTCGCGGGGAACAGATCTCCGAGCATCTCAGTCCCGTCGGTCGCATAGGTCAGCGTGGCCACTCCGCCCGAGAGCCCCAGCTCGCCGTCTCCAGTCTGGCGGGCCGCTGCCGCGCGCGCGCTGCACCCTGCCTTCGCCGCCCGCGAAGGAGCTGCTGCCGCCGCCGCGAGCAAGCGGGCATCCTGTGCGAGGTAGACACGCGCTGACCCCTGCTTGTCGCGGTCCATCCATCCCATGACAGCCCGGCCAATCGCCCGGGCATTGCAATTGCGCGCGGCGGCCTGCAGAAGCGCGTCGTTGACCGCTGCCCTCGCTTATGCACCCGTGGTCTACGCCCTGGCGCCTGGCCTCCTCGACCACGAACGCAGCCGAGCTGCCTCTGCGGCTGTCTCTGCATCGCCCTATTCCCCAGCTGGGGCTCGGGGCCTGCCAGACCCGTTGCCTAGCCCGCCCGACCGCGCGCGCCGCCGAGCCAGCCCAGGCGCGGGCGTCTTACCCTGATTAGTACGGTTCGAAACCACATCGGGCACCAGCGGGGAGGAGGCCGAGCCCGACGTCGCCACAGTCCCGGTTCCTGCGTGGCTCGCCGCTCGCGGACCATCGCAGTCGGCGGCGCTGCGACCTCTGGCCGAGCCTGCGCCCTGTGAACATGGGCCGCCCGCGCCTCCCCGCCGCCCCCCGTCGCGGCCCCCCATCCACGCCCCAAGCGCCAGAGGGGAGAGCATGCTACGCATGGAATGAAATGAGTAGAAGATGTGGTGTTGGATCCGTGAGTGGATCAGCCTAGACAGTATGAGGATCAGAAGCTATGATGCCTCTGTTGGTTGTGGGTCGGCTATGATGCCAACCTGTGCCCACCCCGTCCCGTCTCCAGGGACTTCGCATCCCCCTTTGATGGCGGGATGGGGAGACGGTCCGCCACCCCCGGCACTGCACGTACTGTGCCGGGTTCGTGGGGATTTTGTTGAATTCAATGAATGTCCCCTCCCTTCCCTCCCGTCCCGTCCCTCTATCTGCATGCCTGGTCCTGCGGGCGGAAAGGCCAGAAACGTATACACAGTTTTGACCCCGAGTCCCGGTGGCGATCCGAACCTGCAGGAGGGAGATAAATTGAAACACGCCGGAGGTCACTTCCTCGACCGTTTAGATTGCCACCAAGAGTTGGCGGTGGGGTAGCCCGGGGACCCCGGCAAAACCAGCCAAACGATAGCGGATGGGCCGGCACGCCGGTTTTAAGCGGATAGGCCGGTACACCCAAAGTTCGCCACTGCTTAGGAGAACCTTCGCCAGTGCTTAGGAGAACACTTCGGCCTCAGAGGCACCGAGATTCGTGATGCGTGCCCCTTCAATGGAAGGAGGAGGAGGAGGCAGAGGGAGAGCCGGACCCACCGAGAAGGGAGGG